TTCATTACATAGTAATGAGACGTAAGAACAAGATATGGACACTTCCCCCTCATTTTCATTTTCCATGTTTATATTTTTCTTAATGGCAATTTTTCTCAGCTTCTTTGCATGCTGAGGAAATGAAAAAAGCAATCATAAACATGAATACTGGAAATCACCTGGTCTAGTCTGGTTTCTAGCTGAGTGGTATAAAACATTTTCCAGCCTGCTCATTCCAAAGCTTTATCTTTATAATCATAATTTTTGAATCATGTTCCTTTATTTCATCATTAAACAATATTTCAATCATAGTAATTCCTAAGCCTGAGAAGAGTCACAATTATTTGCAGTATCAATCTATTTTGTTAATTAATATAATATAATATTAAATTATTAACTGTAATTCTGGGTGTACATCACATTAAATATAGACAGCAGCAGATAATCTCAGATGGATTATATATCTGATATCTTGACATGCTGGTAGAACAGAAAAGGTTGCCATTCTTTCTCTAATCACTTTAAAGGCTTTTGACAAATTACTGGAAATGTATTTTCACCAGGTTGAGTAATTCTGGCTTTGAAATGTGTCAGAATTTTATATTCAACCACAAGAGCTAGACTTATGACAATGGACTTTATCAGCTTTCTTTTCACTTGGGCAGGTACCAGACAGGATGTAGATAGATGAGTATGTTTAAAAATGACTTTGTGGGTAAGTTAAATAGACTTAATGTGAATATTGTAAGTTGGACTGTTAGTGGAAAAAATGTGGGAATTTCTGTGTTGTATGTGGAAAATATTTTCAAAAACCCAACGCTCAGTTTCTCAGCTTGGGAAGGGAGGTTCTTCCTTCACAAATATAGTCCAAATAAGAAGGTTGGTTTTGGTTTTCTGGATCTTGCTCTATATTATATCTGACCTATTTGTGGACCTGTACTGAATTGTTGTCTTTTCCATTTAGATTTTCCATTATGATCAGCTTTGAACTTTTCCTGTCTAGATCCTCTCTCAAATTGGATGGTATTAAATTCTTGGCACAATGAAATGAGCCAAGGATTGGTCTCATACCACAATTATGGCTTTTAGAAAAGTGTGGTGTAAAACATCATCTTTGATATATTTCCTCATGCTAAATGGACTCTGTATGGAAATCCAGAGTTAAATATTGTTAAGAAAATGTTTTTGTAGCATTCTTAATCAAGTTGATTTTCTTTTTTAAACCTTCATTCAATGTACGGGTGCTCCTGGTGAGTGTTTGTTTGTTTGTTTTCATTCACAGCTTTGTGAGTCATGTAAGATTGGCTTGGAATGGGTGAATTGCAATGCTTGCAGTTGCAACATTTGATAGACTCTTGGTTTGGCTTTCACAGCTTCAGTCTCCTTCACTACTGGAAGTACTTATTGAGGTTGATCAGTTATAATTACACACGATTCATGTTTCTAAATACTGATTATTGATGAATAAGAATGATATGCAGAGCTATAGGTATGGAATAGGAAACTGGACAGTTCCATTTTGCCTTTCATTGTTACCTTTGTCTTTAACTTTAACACGCTCTCATATTTAATATACAGGTCCTCTGAAATGATCTACCTGATTTCTGGAAGTTAATGCATGATGAAAGCATATGAGTTATTCATACCCTTTTGACACCAAAAAGTGTGATATTACTATACTGGAAGGATGAATGTTCACTTCCTATAATGCAATGAACTGAGCACCTGTCAAAGATTTCAGCATTTGAATTGGTCATATATATGCCACTTGTGAATGGATACATATATGGGTATCTGCTATGCCTTTGCTGAAGCTTATATATGCACACATTTTATATGTGTGTCCAGGCTGGATTCCAAAAAGGAAGAAGCACTTGAGATCATATTGCAAACATGTGTTGGCTACTGGAGCAGGCCAAAGAATTTCAGATCAGTTTGAGCTTTATAGACTACAGCAAAGCCTTTGACTGTGTTTGACCGTGTGGATCATGAGAAGCTATGAATGGTTCTGGGAGAAAAAGGTGTGCCTCAGAACTTGATTGTCCAGATGTGTAACCTGTATTGTGGGTATGAAGCTACTGTTAGGATAAAATATGGAGGGACAGAATCATTTCCCATAGGCTAAGGCAACAGAGAAGGGCGTACTTTATCTTCTTATCTGTTCAGAATGTACACAGACTACATCGTAATGCAAGCTGAAAGCAGTGAAAATAGGCAGAAGAAACATCTATAATATGTAGATGACACCATCTTATTAGCAGAAAGCAGAGATGAATTGAAATGATGTCTGATGAAAATAAAAGAAGACAGTGAAAAAGCAGGACTGAAGCTGAGTATTAGGAAAACAAAAATCATGACTAAAGAAGAATTACATAACTTAACAATGATGCAATGGAAATAGTGAAAGATTTTGCATGCCTTGGCACAATCATCAGTTCAAATAAAGACTGCAGCCAAGAAATTTGAAGAAGAATGAGACTTGGAAGAACAGCAATCAAGAAACCAGAGAAGATCGTCAAAAGTAAACAAATTTCACTGGAGACTAAGGCCAAGACCACCCACACCATTGTATTCCTAATCACTATGCATGGGTGTGAAACCTAGAAAGAAAGCTGACAGGAAGAAAAGGGATGCATTCAAAACATGATGGAGGAGGAAAGCTTTGTGAATACCCTGGATGGAAAGAAAGACAAACACTTGGGTCCTAGATCAAGTCAAACTACAGCTGGAAGCAAAAATCACAAGGCTGAGGTTGTCATGCTTCGGCACATCATGAGGAGGCAAAACTCCCTGGAAATGCACTCCTACTACGGAAAGTCCAAGGCAGAAGGTGCAAAGGAATGCTTAAACGTGCCGTTGTATTTATGTTAAAGGAGAGTGATTAAGTTCTGTGGGGTGACTTCCAGTTAAGCTGGCACAGGCAAGCATAGGAGGGTAACCCTGCTCACATGTTTTGGGAAGACAGGAACCCTGAACACAATGGGTCTTCCTTCTGAGCAGATATGCATAAGATTGTGCTGTCAGCTTCATTAATTCTATTCTATGCTTCCTTGGGAGTTCATCCCATCTGGGGCAGTGTAGCTTGTTTCTGAGGAAACCTACTTTGTTTTTGCTGGACCGAATCCACACAGTTCTCTATATTTCCGATGCAGACTCAGGCTATGGATACAGCTGGGGAAGAGAGTAATCTGGAAGCCCTGGCATCCTTCATGCTGGGGAAGCATAGGCTATTCGAAATTTTTTCTAAAGGTCAGAGCATGTTCGGTCTTGTGGAACGTTGATTCATATCACCTCTGAAACATGAACTAGAGTATGGGCTTCCTTGTTCACAGTTTGGAGCAATTTGGTTTCAGCATGGTGTGGTGGTTACAGCAGCCTTTCCCAGTGTGGTTCCCCTAATGGACAGGACTGCAGTTTCAGTCGTTCCCTGCCAGCACGGAACAGGCAGTTGGTATGTTACCCTTTCTCACAAAATTTGCCCTTCCTCACAATCCTGCCAGAGCAGATCACTTTAAAAATGCACCAGCAGGAGAACCAATCTGCTGTTCTCCAAGGTCTCTTTACTCTGGATTAAGCCCCCTTCCCACTGTGATTTCTCTCTAACAGCTTTCCCCAACTCAGCGCCCTTCAGATTGTTTGGACTGCACTGTGCAGCCAGCATTTTCAGTGCAGTCCAAAACATCTGGAAATCACCAGGCTGATCTGTGGCAGGGGTGGGCTCTGCAGATGTGTGGCCTGATGGGGAATGCTGTAGGAGTTGTAGGACTTTTTCCTGCCTAAACATTGATAGCAATGGCTTACATTCAACAACAAAAAACACGCAAGCCCATGATGGGATGAATATAGCAACACATGGTGACCTGCAAAGCACCTTCCCCACTCAAGCGTGGCAGAGACACCTTTGATGTATTATGTACCTCTCAGGTTTGCACACATAAGTAGTCTTCTTTTCTGCTGAATTTGGGATGCCTGAATAACTGCTAGCTTATCTGTTAATGTGCAAATTACACATATATAGACCTAAATCCTATTCCTTCTAGGACATTGTTAAATTCCAGCTTGTAAAAAATGCCCCCAAATGTCAACCTCCTGCCTTATACAGTTTTCATTCTATAAACCAAAACATGCCTGGGGAACTAAATTCTTCCGAATGTGTATAAGGATAGGGAACATTTGGACCCCAAACAAAGGCACAAGAGGAGGTTAACTGCAGGTCATATTCACCTTTTTTGAAAGTCAGTAATTGGAACTAAAATCTCCAACAAACTGAATTACTTCAATTGGTTCAAAATAGAGCTGCCAGGCTGCTGACGGGGACTGGGCATTATGTTCACATGACTCCAGTTCTCCATCAGCTTCACTGGCTCCCCATTGAAGTCCGGGCCCAATTCAAGGTGTTGGTTATGACCTATAAAGCCCTAAACGGCTTGGGTCCTGGCTACCTGAAGGAGCGCTTATGTCCATATATGCCCGCCCGCTCCTTGAGATCAGCGGGAGAGGCCCTTCTCCGGGAACCCTCCATGAAAGAAATTAGGAGGGTAAGTACTCGGAGGAGGGCTTTCTCTGCGGGGGCGCCCAATCTATGGAATGCGCTCCCCAGAGAGGTCCGCCTGGTGCCATCGTTATTTGTTTTTTAAATATTTGTTATTTGTTTATTCTCTAATCTCTAATTGTATTAATTGTTATTTATATGTTTTAATTATTTGTCATGCTGTGAGCCGTCCCGAGGCTTTGTTGCGATGGGGGCGGCATAGAAATGTTTTAAATAAATAAAATAAATAAAAACTGCTACACACATGAGCTTTATCTAAGATTGACTGATGCTCACCTGGACTCTTACAGTGGGATTTGTTGTGGGATGGGAAAAGGCTCCTCCAACTGACTGAAACCTAAATGTCAAGCACACTCTGATGGAGTTCCTTGTGCCTGTGCTTTGCCCTTTCATGTCATCACCGAAGGCAACCCAAAGGATTCCTCCCAAGCCCTTGATGGTGATATAATGCTAGGCATTTATGTCATACCTGTAAAAGCCTTGGAAGAAAATGGTCCTGCTCAAGACTCAGGCAAATATGCAAGAGCTCCAGTATAGACAGTAACTGGCAGATGCGCATCATCAGTCCAATTGAATGGAAAGTATCGGCAACAGAATCTTCAGGCAGAAGAAACAAGGAAAAGAGTAACTTGGAATTCTGCACCACAGTTTTCATGTCAAGCTTCCTCACTCCCACTGACCATTAGATGAACAGGAAGTTAATACCACTCCTGTGCATTAAGTTTTTTGAGAATTTCCTGTGGTCTGTTTTGCCCAGAGACAAAAGCATCTTGCATCCACCCTGCGCACATTTTAGTTAAATGGTTCCTGCTAGCAAGAAAGAACATTGCACAAGACTTTTCACAAGAATTCTAAAGAGAAACAGATGGGCTGCATTTAGTTAGTGGCAATTGGATCAGCCCACTGAAGTACATGGAAGTTTTCATTTGCAAATAGTGCAGAAAATTAGTACAAGACCAGCCAGGAATCAATTTTACCCTGTGTACATATTCACTGAATTTTCATCAGACTCTAGACTGGAGTAGGCAAGCTGGTTGCAAACAGATGTTTTCAGCTGCAGCTCCCACAATCCCTGACCATTGGTCACACAGGCTGGGGATGATTGCACCTATGCTGTTGGGGGATTCAAACCCAGGGCTCAATTCGATGTGGCTCCAAGCCAACTAGAAATAGTCATGATGAAACTCTTTTGCTTCTGATGTATGCTTGTCATGGCCACTTTTAATGATTTGGGGCCAATGGCTGTTAAACTGGGCCCAGTTAATTTTCAGATTATAGCAATAAAATGCTTTAATTGTAATAAATTCTAGTCTGTCCCTCCTACAAGGAATAGAAGGTGATGTCCATGTGGAATTACTGTTTCAAAAATAGTAAAAATGTTGTTCTAGTTTGGCTCGATTTAGCATGAAGAATATGGCTGTACAACATGTACTAAGAATTAAGAGGTAAAAGAATTCTTCCTTCAATTAGATGTATGCACTTTATTTCAATGAATGGTCAAAAATCTTCTCATTTATATAAATTTACACATGCAAAGCACTGAGTTCTGGCAGTGTCTTATTTGGACTGTTTAGAAGTAAACCCTACTGGTTTCAGTGGGCCTTATTTCTAACACAGTCAGCAGAATTTGGACCTTAGGCTATGCTTGGAAGTGACGTATGATGCTGGACAAGTGCTATTTAGGCAAAGAGACACAAGCAGGGAACCTGGCTTGGAGGCACCATTTGTGGAACCAGGGACTTTATTCTACATATATGGTTGGCCAAAGACTGAGACTCTTCTCTCCCCATTCAGACCATAACCAACCAGTGGAGGGAGCAAGTTGAGGGGTGAGTCATACTTTGCCAAGGAGCAACCTCAAGATTTATGGAAGGCTTGAACTTCTCACTCTGTTCCACAGATCTCTTCAGCTCTGCCTCCATGTAGCAGATCACACATGGGCTCTGACAGCTGCCTGCTCAAAAATGGGTCCCACCTCCAAAGAGGAAGGCAACTGTGTTTCCAGGGGTTTATCACATCTGGGGTGGAGGGCAGGAGGTTTTCCAGGCAACATCATCTCTTACTCATTATTCAAAGTATCTGCTTCCACCATTTCCTCCATCTGTTTTGGTGGTGGTGGTCACGGTGGTGTTACTACAGAAAATGCATTAAGTTTCAACGGATGGAATGACTGCAGAAGACCTTCTGCCTGGTAGAAGCAAGAGCCTGCCATCTGGAAGCAGCTCAGACAGCTTGTGTATGTTGGTGTCCTCAGGTGATGAACGTGATGAACTCAGCTGAATGATCTATGCTGGATATCTCTGGTTCCCAGATTACACTGGGGCAGTTTCCTCGTATTTGGTTCTTCCCCATGACTGAATGCAAAGACCTACCTGTACCTGTCCTTTTTCCAGCTGCGTTCCTTCACCTGTGTGTGTGCCTTCACGCACACAACGGCAGGGAGGACTTCAACCCCATGGAGGACTTGTCCTGAGTAACTTAGGAACGGTGACAGCAACAATAGTTCAATCCCAGATACTAAATAGCAGAGTCATTCAGCTGGTCATGCCTGTGGATATGGGCTCATATTTATTTTGCGATATAAAAATTGAAGACTTGCAGTCTTGGGTATTTTCTCCATGGGGACAGCTGGTTCTTTGGCATCTGTACTAGCAGGGATGGTAGATACTATTGAATTAGGACAGCTGCTTTGCCCCAATCTACTCAAATGGTCTTCCTTCCTTCCTTCCTTCCTTCCGTCCTTCCTTCCTTCCTTCCTTCCTTCCTTCCTTCCTTCCTTCCTTCCTTCCGTCCTTCCTTCCGTCCTTCCTTCCTTCCTTCCTTCCTTCCTTCCTTCCTTCCTTCCTCTTTTAGTTTTCCAGAGGTAAGGACTAGAACCAAATAGCTCAACTTGGCAGGATGGCAAGTGTGTGTAGTTGTACATGCGTGTCTGCGTGCAGTTTGGGCATGGTTGTTTTGTGATTTAGTCATTCTCAAAAAGTTGAGCTGGTTTTCCAGTCGGATGGGTGCTATCTGTGTCCTGCTACTGCATCTTTATAATGTCATCTCAAACTAGAAGTCTGTAAGCATGAGTTCACTCATGTGCTCTTTTCTCTAAAGTATATTCACATTATAAGCATTGTATTACAGGTTTCACTGCTCAGCAAAGGTATGTGCATGTGAAATAGCTTTTCAGACAACTCAATCCCCTTTATGCAAAAAAGTTACTGTGAAATTTACCAAATCATAAGATAGCCCTTAATTTATTTCTAAAGTGTATAATGTGGATTGCTTGACAACATTGTGACATAACAGAACACAAACAGGCCTACCTTCCCCAAAAGACAAGAACCTGATGATCATGTTGGTAAATATCCAGGAATGTCCACAGAACTGGATTAAATAATAGCTGAAGATGTAGGTATTCATCGCAAAGCTGTAAAGGCAAGAATGATGAATTCAAAAAGTGGCCTCTGACCAGAGCAATGGTAGCAATGGACCATTTGTCAATAGCCCACATCCTAGGGCAGTGATGGCAAACCTTTTAGAGGCCAAGTGCCCAAACTGCAACCCAAAACCCACCTGTTTATCACAAAGTGCCTACACTGCAATAAAACCTGAATACTGAGGTTTTAGTTTAGAAAAAACAACTCATACTTTAACATCTTTTGTCTTAAAAGGAAAACACAATAACAGAGCTTTCAATGATACAAACAGCTTTTTATTGAAAGGTAAACGTTTGCATTTTTTGTAGTCATTTTTTGGTGTTCAAGATTTGGAGTCTACAAAAACACAACATTTTTTTTTAAAACAGCATCCAATACAAATCTATCCCTATACCAAAAATAGCTAATACTATTAGCACTAAAGAATTGGATATTCCCTGAATCAACAGTCTACGGCAGTGATTCTCAGCTGGGGTTCCTCTTGGATTTGCAGACCACCAGTGCAAGGGGGCAATGTTCCACTGACCACCGCTGAAATTTTTTCAAATCAAAATTATTGATTTTCAACATGTGGGGCAAGGAGATAGTGTGGCATCGCCAGGATACACAGCAAAGCTGCAAGATCTGTTCATGGATACCTTGAAAATGAAATTGAAAATTTGAGAGCATCTGTTGCGATTATTTTATTATTAAAGGTCATTATAGCATCGAAGGATGCAATGCTAGTGGGTGGCTCCCAGATAAATAAAATAAATCAATTATAATTTCAGAGCAACCTTATAAATATGGTCACATCATTATTGTCTGCGGGAATTTTCTGAGCAAAGGAATTTGCTTGGCATGGACCCTACAAAATAAGCGAGGCCCAGGCCTAGCCATTGGTGCTCATTCTGGCGGTGGATGGATGGATGGATGGATCATTTTGCCCCCTTCCACATCAGCTTGTGAAGTTTTGGGGTAGGGGTGCTACTTTTTTGAAACATATGCATGTTTGTATACATTATTTCAAAATGAACGCACTTTTGCTAGTGATTTTCCATTGGATAAAGGACGTTTTTGCACATTTCCTCAGATATATACATTTTTGTGCATAATGTTTCATTTCGTGGTTACAGTTTTGGTCCCCACCCCCAGATGAATACCTTTACAGGTTTTATTTTTTGTATGCTTTGTATCACATACTTGATGTCTAACTGAAATTACAACTACTACTACCACTAATAATAATGATAATAATAATAATAATTGTCTGCTGGTTTGTGTTCAGGTTTGGAGATTGTAGACATATATCTCAACCATCCCTAACTATGGCATGAGGTTGCGGGGGGAACTTGTGGTTCCCCCCCACTGAGGAGCCAGTGTAGTGTAATGGTTAAGGATGCAGGTCTGGGCCTCAGGCGATCCAGGTTCTAGTCCCTGCTTGGCCATGGAGCCAACTGGGTGACTTTGGGCCAGTCAGATTCTCAGCCCAACCTACCTGACAGGATTGTCGTTGTGGGAATAAGACTGAGAGCAGCTGGAGAATGATGTGAATCTCCGATTTTTTCAAAAAGAAAAAGGTGGGATATAAATATAATAAATGAATGTGGGTGGACTGCCATTGGCTGCGCTGGCCAAAGCGGATGGGAGTCCCACAGCATCTGGACGGCTCTCATTCCAGCTGTCTATTTTCAAATGACTTGGTTCATCTGAGCTGGAGAGCTCCGCTATATTCAGCCATACACGACTTTTGTGGCAGAGGAAGGGGCTCCCGGCTTCCTCGGTAGTGCGGTGCATTGGCACTAGGCTCTATGATTAGAGGGTTGCGCACCACTGCGGTTTGGGAGCATTGTCAGGCTGTTCTCCCTACAGATTACGTGGGCCTAGCAGGAGGAGAGCTGGGTCTGGTCTTGGGAGGAATCAGTCTTGCCCCAAGGCATTTTGCTGCTTGACGTGGGAAACTGGCAGCACTCTGTCTAGCCAACGCCAATTCCTGCCTTTGCCAAGCCTGACAACCCCATCTTGTCGTGTTGCCTGAAGCAGGTCATGGCAGGCTGTCCCACGGAGAACCGGCTCTCTTGCAGCCTCCTCTTTCCTCCACTGTGGTTGTGCAGGGAGAAACAGGTGATTCCTAGATCTCTGTTCTGAGCTCCTTGGAGGAAGGCCTGCCCCCAGCTGGGAAAGCAAGCAGAATCTCAACCACACCAACAGTGCCAGATGCTTCGAGAGGGGGAATACTTCAGAAGTGAGACCTGGGAGATCCAGGTTCTAGTCCCCGCTTGAAGGGGCTTTGGGCTGGTCACTGACTCTCAGCCTAGCCTACTTCGCAGGGTTGCTGTGAGAACAAAATGCAGAGGAGGAGGACTGTGTGAGCTGCTTTAGGTCCTTTGCAAGGGGGGAAAGGGGCAAGGTACACATGCAAGAACTCTGAAAGTAAATGAAATCATGTTTGCCACTCGGATCCCCTGAGATTAGCCACCTCTGCAAGTTTTCCTTCTGTTGGGACGAAAGTCAAGATGAAGTCATCGTTCTTAAGACCTGAAAAGGGGATGTGCCGGTTCCGCACGAGAGAGGCTTGTTGTCACAAGAGCCTCCGTTGAACTGCTGGGCAGCCCGGGCCTTCCCTACCACAACAAAAGGAGGCTGAAGAAATTCAGGGCAACCGCCTCGCGGCATTGCTGTGGGCCAACGTGCTTGGCCTTACCTTGTTTTGCAGGTTCCGGCTTCAGCTGCTGAAGGGCGCAGGGAGCGTCGCTCTGTGTGTTTCTCTTCCTCGCAGCTGCAACAGCTGGGCTCAGAACAATTTCCCCTCCTCTTTCCTCCCCTCCTTCTCTTCCCCTCCTCTTCACCACGTCAGAACAGCATTGCAAAAGAGCAGTGCTGCTTTCTGGAAGGACAGAGCACGAAGCCCTTGAAGTTCGTCCCAGCGCGGCGGCAGCATCGTCGCGGCTTCTGCTCTGAACTGCACTTCGCAGGCTCGCCGAGAAGGGGCTGCCCACGGGAGAATGTGTCCTTTGTGAAGACAGGTCTGCTGCTTAAATTCCAAGAACAGACAAGGGAGTGTTGCATTCAGGACTTGTGTACCTTTGTAGCCCAATTTGCCATTTCTGCATGGACAGTTCCTGCGTTCAAGGCCACAGCACACTAGCCACACAAACCACCGAAGTGAAGGGGAACCGCTCTTAGCACTTGTCTCAGGAGTGGGCAGGAGTGGGCGCTGCTGAGGGCCTGCAGCCCGGCCCTGAGGGGCCACTGACCAGCCTCCCCTGGACTTGCTCTTCTGCCCCAGCGTCGCACCCTGCCTGCATGCCCGCCTCTTGCCCTGTCCCGGCACTGGGGCCTGTGGGGGACAAGCCCCGGGGCTGCTGCTCACTGGTTTTCTGCCTCTCGGGCAAATGTGGTAGCCCTGAGGACAAAGCAGAGGCAGCTGGGGCAATGGCAGCGAGGGAGCCGGCGCTTGCTGTCATGGCAGGGTGTCCTGGGAGCAAAAAGGAAGCGTTGCCCAGCAGATGGCCTCAAAAGCGTCTGGTCTTTTGCTGGGCTTGACACACACTACCAGAAAGAACAAACCCGGGTTCTGCGTTCACACGGATACACACAACAATTTATTCAGCAGAAGGTGGAGAGCAGGCACCAGCTTTTATCCTGATGTTTTCTAGGCAGCAAACATTCCTACCGCATCCTAACCTTACTCTGTGTTTCTCAAGAGATAAAGAGCTTCTTGTCTAACAGGGAGGGGAGCTAACAGATTAAGAGGGAAAGGGAGTCCATTTGGAGTAGACTTTCAACACCAGTCCCTTGTGTGGACAGGAAAAGCGCAGGAAGTTCGCAGGCTGAGCTGCCAGGCCTGGGTTCAAAGCTTGCCCACTTCCATTTTCTAAGTCCCTGATCTTTATACTATTTCTATGGGCATGGGAAGGTTCCCATTTTTCCCCAGCTTTAAGCTTGATTGCTTCTCGATAAGCATATCTATTGTGGTCTGCTTTGTCCATGTTTGCTGGCTGCTCTTGATGGAGTAATTTCTGGGCGTCTCAGGATAAGGGCCATCCTTCTTGCAGGGTGGTTTTGCCTAATCTCGTTAAGGGGAAATGTCTTAGGTCTGACCTTTTCTCTGCGTGAATTCCAGTGTTCTTTAGTCATCATTCATTCTTATCTCATTCACACTGGCCAGCCCAGGATGTCCTGAACTCGCTTTACCCCAGCGTGGCTCATGGCCTGGGAGTTGGTCTTCGTGGCACTAATATTGATATTGCAGGCACGAGAGGGAGGGGGCCACGGAGGCTGCTTTACTCAAGAGCTCCCCAAAACCTGGGCCAGCACCAAGCCCAAGCCCTCTGCTCCCTTGCACCTCGCGCGCTGGCTTGCTCCCAAACTGAGCCCCAGTTAGTTGACAAATATTCACGATGTTCAGAAACAGGTGTTCTGTTTAGAGGTCAGGAAGTGTTCTTGCTTGGGTTTTCGCCACAGTTGTTTAGCCCTTGCAGGACAAAAGTGACCGTCGTTCAGTTCTTCCCAGGAGCTCAAAACGAATGCGTGAAGAATGCAACTGAGCTGCTAGCTCTGGACTTGTGCTCAGGGTCCCCTCCTGGTTATGCTTCTTAATGCATCGGATGGACGTGATTAGAACTGGCCAGACCACGCGTCGTGCAAGGGCCTCATTGGTGCGTTAGGTGTGGGGCTGCTGTGCATGACCCCCTCCTTGGTGGGTCCTTGTGAAGGGCCTTGAAGGGCACTTGTGACTCCCCAGTGCTTCCCATACGTGACTTCAGGGACCAACTCTCTGCTACACGAATGGCATGAAGTATCCCTGACACTTTTATTTTTTGAAAAATATATCTCAGGTAAGAGCACGTGGACCCAATTTGGACTGCTGTGGTCTGTTAGGAGAAAGTTAGCCCTTTCCAACTCAGAATTTTTCCTGAAATCCCCTCTAGGTAAGGATTTAAAATGGAGAAATGACTCAATGGAGCCATCTTTGAATGGAATCCCCCCCCCCCCGCTTTACTGCTCTTTTCCTCAAGGGAGGGGCACAGTGGTAGCTGTGGGGAAGGGCAATCCTCTTCTCCCAGGATGCAGTGGTCCCAGTCTAAATGGCATCCACACATGCTTACAGGAAAGTTGAGAAAAGGTTAAGCCTTGGCCACATGCTGTGCATTCGGCCTCACAAAACCACCATGTTGAGTGACATGACATATTCAGTGAAGGGAGCGTATTCACTCAGGATTTTAAAATGGATGTTTAAGGAGCTAGCTCTGGTGCCAAACCTGTGTTGGGGGTATGGTTGGAGGTGTTGCAGCCAGCAGCCTCCACTGGGTAGATCCACACTGAAAACAATGGGGTCTAAAAGTAAGGCCACTCCAGCAATTTGTGGCTGAGCTGAAGACTGGAGCTGGGGGCTTATGCTGTTGGAGTAACGCCTACAGGGATGGGGAGATCGGACAGGCGTTCAGTCTGAGCAAGTAGTGTCATGAAGCTCCGGTGGCAAAGGCAAGGGCAGCAAGGCTGCCCCTGTGTCTTTAGTCCATGGGGGGGGGGGGATTGTCAGGAAGATCAAAAAGATCAAGATGTGCTCATGCATTTTAACAATAGGACAGAACAGATGGTTCTGCAATGTTATCTCACTTTGGTTCTTTGTTTAAAAGTTGAATATTTTTTATTCTCTTGATTTGGAAATGTTAAGAAACTATCTTTAGGGTTGCTGCACACTGAAAGGCAGAAAAACTGTTGGAAAAGGTGTGGCCTTTGGGTACAATGGGAAAAAATGAGGAGTACTTGAAAGTGCCCTTTCCAACGGATAGGTAGAGTGACATCAGCTTCCCCAGCACTCCATCTGATAGTGAGATCAGCTGGTGAGAGTTGATGGGCTGTAGGCAAAGGTGGGTCACTGGAAAGCAAGGAGGAGCTATCAACACATGTAGAGGAATCCCTGTTTGCAGAAGTAAAATACTCTTTAGGGGAAAGGGCCATAGATGGAAAGTCTTCCAGAGGGAAACTCAGGGACCACAACATGCAGAATTTTTGTTGGAGAAGGTCAAAATGGAACGTAATGGATAATCCTGCAAGAAGCTCCCGGAATGGTTGAACAGGTGATGTTGGAGTGCATCAAGGTTCTCTGATTTCCTTCTTGAAACACAATTTGTCTTGTAAGTCTCCACAAACCAGAGCATCTCTTTTTGATTGGGAATTGCATGAATTTTTAAAATGTTCAGCCAAAATGCACACTTTTACCCCATTCATAAAGCATGAAACAGGGGCATTTTTAAAAATGGGTCTGCGAGCTCAGAATCACACATACATTTGATCTGAATAGCTGCCTGGGTTTACTTTCATTTTAGGCCTAAAAATAGGGCTTGTTCAAAAGTTTTGCCTAAAAAAAGAACAAGAAAAGTTCTCATAGATCTCTATCAATGAAAGCAGCTGTATTCTCATTTTGCCCTCTAGTGTCCAGTGTGCAAATGCAATGTTTAAGCAGATAAAGTAGAAAGTTCTAGTTAACAAACAACACCTAAGATTCATTAAAATATTACTTTTCTGCCTTCAAAAAAATAAATTTACAAGATTATGTCTGTCTGCGTTTATCTCCCGTATGGCCTTCCACATCTGTTTTGCAAGAATCTGCAAAGGAAGAGCACCTCTTGCTCGTGAGTTCATATTTGGCACAGCATGCAGAGATGGGCCTGGGTGGAAAAGGTCCTGGGGACGCAGGATGTGTGCTGATGCCCTGGACTATGGCAATTACTGCCACCGCTGCAGGGACCATCACAAGGGAAATCTCTGCAGCACCACGGGGCAGCAACACCAACCACCATCTTCTTACGAACTGCTGCCACTTTCTTCTTTCTACACACAGGTAACTCTCTTTTATGTGTGAGTTTCCTCCATAGGCTTACACTCAGGGTTAACAACAAACCTAACTCATCTTTTGCAGATGAAACCATGAGATCCATGACTCGCTGGCTTAGCTGAGAAACAGTTCTGGCCTCTTCACCCCAGGGTGAGGAACCCACTGGCTTTGCAAAGGATTCTTGGTTGCTTTCCTGAGATGTTTTCCCTCTTCTTCTGCATCCTGGAATCACAGCCCTCTGCCCCTTCGAGGATTTGGGGCACTCGGATCAGCTCTGCCCTCACAGAGTGAGAATGGGAACTCCACTTGCCCAATGCAGCCTGGTTCACATCACGCTCTCTTCACTTGGGCACGTGCCTCAGTGGTACCAGAGACAGTTGCACGGCCGTGAGCAAGAGCTGCAGTGTGGATGTGCTCAGAAGCTTTCGCTGGTCTGGTGCCATCCCAGTGGTTTGTATGGCAGCTTCGATCATCTTCAGTCCACAAGTCCAGGGGCTCTTCTAGCATATGCTTTTAGGTTAACTAGCTGCCAAATACACAGGGGACAATTCAGCTGAGATTTCAGTGGGAAAGCTAAAATTAAGCCCATGGGTTGCATTTATTACTGCCTCTGTGCTAGATTCAGACAACTGAGTGTCTGAAAATGTGAGTTTATGCTGCCATTTTCCCATTATTGTGATGTTAGTCTTCCTGTAATGCATGACCTTGAGCAGGCATTCTGTGTGGCATAATCTCGACTGGGCAATTAAGACTGGGCTTATTAGCACAGGGGTGGGTAGCATGTGGCCCTCCAAATATTTTAGCTGGCATAGTCCCATGGTGAAGGATGATGGGAAGTGCAGGGTAAACATCTGGAGGGATACAAGGTGCCCACCCCTATATTAGCATAATCCCCCCCACTTCTGATTCTGGTGGACATGAGTGCTGCAAGAACTAATTTGTCGATATAGATCAATGCAACTGTCCGCATGTGTTGGGCTCTTTTGGGGACACGGCTTTGGGGCATGGCAGCAGGGCTTTGAAGGGAGCCTACACCTTATTTTACTATCACACCACTGCAAGCAGTTTCACCAGTTTGTGGCTTGAGGAGGACTGGCAAATGCTTCCCATTTCTCATGGGAAGATCTGGCCCAGCCACTGCAGAACACAAAGGCAGGAAATAGAGCAAACTGGTGGATCCTAGAAAAGCAGAATTGCCTTGCGTGGTGTTCATAAGTCCCTCTAGCATGTAAAATGCCCACCTGTGCATGGCAACACAGTGTACGCCAGCTATCGGTGTATTTTGCAGGGAAGAGAGCTGGGACAGCCCTTGCCTTTGAGTGCCATCCACCTTCCATGGGATATCTGTAGTCTTCTGAGTTCAGAAGTTTACGGGCATGGAAAACCCTCTGTTACCTTTGGAAAGCCACACTCCCCTGGATTTTGCAATGGGGTTTTCCAATCAAAAATTGCGGATAAAAATATGTACTTTGGAGAACGAATGCATTTTATTAGGAAATGCACATGTATAGAACCACATTCTAGGCATAAATGCATGTCAAATGCATGTCTGTGGAGAAATAGGCACAGCATGCTCATGCATGTTTATACAAGCTTTAAAAAATGTTCTTGAAGTTTGGAATGAACTGAATTTAAGGCTGGTTAAATTCTTAAAGTTCAGTGTGGACCAAACTTAAGGAGAAATGAGAGAAACTGAAAGTGGCCCATTTGTCCATACTTTAAAGTAAACCTGGCTGAGTTCGAAGAACAATTCTAGGCATGCAGACTCAGTGCTTCTATACTAGTTAAGTTTAGCACAGTGCCCTAAGTATAGCATTATGCTTCTTCATTCTCTTAATGATAAACCAGCATCCCTGATAAAAGATTTATTTCCCTGATAAATCAATTCTTTGAAAGCAAGATTGTCAACTGAGAAAAATATAAATTGAGAGGATGATCCTATGTCCCCTGGACAGCATCTAGGATGCCCTGGGATAATTCAGGCTCCAAGTTCTGAGCTCAGAAAAGAACTCTGAGATGGGAGCAAGAATCAGTCCTCTGCTCCATCTTCTCCTTTGCAGGCAGCCTGGCTGCTTCTCTGAGGCTGGAAAAATGACTTTGGAGAGGAGGTAGAGGGGACAAAACGGGGGAGATAAAGAGGCCAAGGTACAAGGTAGTCTGGAGGCACTTCAGCCTCTTTTCCTCTCCTCCAAAGTGCTACACCCAGATGGCTGAAAAAGGTTGTCCGGATGGATTACAGAACAAGAGGCCAGAGGAGATGGAGATCACCTCCGCAAATCGTTCTGATCTGAACAGGATAGTGAGAACCCTCCACCTTCAGGGAGTTTCTGTGCACCAAGCAAACAATGGATTGGTTTGTACCCTAAGTTCTACTACAGCCCTTAGGAAAATCTGCTTGTCTCTGGGATTACTTCTTGAGATGAATCATTCCATAAACCACTGCGCCACCTGCAGTCCCCTATGAAACAAAATACCATTAAAGCCTTGACCAGTTGATCAAGAGCTATGTAACCACTCCTCAAGATGTCCATTCGCACAGCCTCCCAGGCACAAAAGCTGAATTCTTCCTCTGTTAGGAATCTATGGATTCCTAGGAAGTATTTCTTCAGTCTTAGCCTTAGTCGGCGATCTTTAAATGTGGAGGGATCTCCTTTTTCTTCCACAGAGCACCCCTTCCATTGCATAACTTGTTGAAACAGGGCCTTTTGGAGAAGGTCTGTGTCACTCATGTTCCATTCAGCTTGAGTGAAGTTGAGCTGAAATACGTCCAGGATCTCTTCAAGGATAAGACCTATTGCCCGTCTGGCATCCTCTTTGCTGGCCTGGAGGAGTTGTTGCAAGGGGAAGCCGAAGCTTCTTGTGAGGCACTCAGGAAGAGGCTGCTGTCTGCCTCCAAGGGCTTTCAAAAGCTTCATGGTCTTCCCGTTCTCACTCTTTTGAGACTGTGCAATTTGACTGCAGTCCAGACTTACAATTCCAGATGCAAACAGAAGCTCCAGGCAAATTTGCCTCAGAGTCGCTGCGGCCATGGTGGGTCTCCTTCAGGCGTTTGGATGGAGAAGCTGGAGGTGAGCCTTTCTTCAGGCTTTCTTCTAGAGCACTGTCTTTTGGTGCCATGGCTCTGAGTTCTTATATGCCAAAATATTAGTACTTTCTGAATCACTTCTCATTTGTTATTCAGCAATGGAAATTGTGCCATTCTCTGTAACTTTCAGATACTTTTTGATTACTTTCAGTCTGAGGAACAGAATTCAAACTGTTCTCCTACTCTTATTTTTCCTATATTGAAATCACATGCCCCCTCCACACAATGGCATCTCTTAGATCATATGGGGCACAGTATGTGGGTCCCATACAATACCTTTTTTCCTGCTCTATGGGTGTTGAAACTCCTTCCGTCTGGGTGATGAATTCATTTTGGAGAAGCTTTCAGGGACATGATTTTTTTTTCTAATGTATATATTTTAATTTTTATTTATGTGGATTTAATTTATTGTTGTAAGCCGCCCCGAAGCTTCGGCGAATGGGGCGGCATAAAAATGTTTTAATAAATAAATAAAATAAAAATAAATGATTTAACACAGGGGCACCAAAAGTGAATGAATGGGGCCAAAAATCCACTGACAAATTTTAGTTTTTAGCTGCTCCTGCCAAGCAACTAATCCTTAGGAGGGGCTTGGGCAGGATTTGACCAAGAGAACTAAGCTACTATGCCCCTGTTGTACAATGTCCTTGAAAATGGTACCAAGACATTAAGGGGGTCCATTTGAGACATGCAGCAGCTTGGCGGATGCTGAACACCCCACTTGGCTTTTTAAAGTGAGCATTCAGAGTGTCTCCTAAAGAATAATAGGCCCCCTCTTGAAACTCTGACCTGCCATCCCAAAAGTTCATCCCTCCGGGTCATTAGGAGAGGTTTCCCCCAAAGCCACTGATACTGCTCAGTGAGATGCTGGGATGTGGGTGAGTTTCTTCTTGCAGCCACTGTGTGGATATAAAGAGCACAGGCTTGTACAGAATGCATAGGAGTAAGGAGGAGCCAAGCCAGTGGCCAGGTGCAGATGAAAATGCTGGGTGGAATTGCACCTGTGCACTTGGGGAGCACAGAGGGGACCAGGGTGGGATAGAAAGAGCAAATCCAAAACTTCTTGGAACGCAAGGATTTTCAAAATGGTAATTTACTTATTAGTGATATTTGCATACTGCCTAACATGGTGACATTTCTAAGCCATTTGTATACCAAATTTTGAAATCATGGTAAAATGTATAGATAATACAGTTTCACCTTTCAATATCAAATATTTGCTCAATATTACAATAAAAAGAAAACTAGAATAAAGCAGAATCCCTAATAATCAACAAATTGCCTGGGAAAGTTTATGCAAAGAAGTGCGCAGCTAAAACACACCACATTTTCTGCCTCCTAAGCTGAATGGGGGAGGGGCTCCAGACCGTGGGGGCCACCACTGTGAAGGCCAGCTTTCAAGGTGCTTTGTGGCAAAGCTCTCCTGGTAATAGGGCAGTGCTCCCAAACTGATTGCACACAGTCGAGGCCATGTCCCGGGGCTACTGCAGATCCCCAAGATGATTCGCCTGGGATGGAAAGTGCATTTGGGAGCAGTCCTACCACCCCTGCCTGCCTGGAGGCACAGCAGCCCTTGAACTTGGGGAGCAGGCTGGCGGTGGCAATGCCTTGCACCCTGATTTGTGCTTGCATCCTGTTTGGGGCCCTCTAGGTTAAGACAGGGAGTGAGGGGGCAGAGGAGGCTGGGGCACTGGCACAGAGGGAGGTGCGTCTGCAGCCCAGGCTTCTGCCCCCTCTCCCCTCCCCTCCTGCCTCCCCATGCCCCTTCTCCTCCCCTCCAAAGAGCATTTGCAATCTCTGGGGAGGCAGCTGGTGTGTTTCTTCCAGGCCACCTGCCGGGGGCTTGGCCTCTGCAGTCCCAGTGCCGGGACCTCGGGGCTGGGACTCCGGGTGATCTGCGTCTCCCAGACAAGGTCGAGAAGCCATACAATGGCCTCCGAAATAGGGATTATGGAGAATGTAAAGAATGCGAAGTGCGATGGGGAGCGAATGATTAAGCTCACTGCTTCAACACCACTGTTGCTGCTGCTGTCATTCCCTGGCTTGGATCCTACTATTAGTATTAGTAATAGCTGCACCCTTCTGGTTTGCCTACCCGAAGTAATTACCAAACTTTCCCATCTAAAGGTTAGAGGCTTGAAATTCTACTTCTCAATTAACATGAAAGCTAAATGCGTGTCCTCAGTTTCATTTCCCATATTTTGGTCTGTTTTCCATTTGTCATACCTGCCATTTGAGCTGGATTAAAGGCATACTTGTTCTTTGGAGATGATCTTAAATCCAGTGTGTTCCTGGAGGAGAGCCCACAGTCTTCTGTTCACACAGTCGTGATAGCTCCTATTTGTTACACGTTGCCCTGTGCATTGTTTTACCCTTCCTCATTAGAATAATGCTTCAGCATTTAATTTAGGAGTTTTGAGAATTTTAGAATGCGGTGGGTGAATGAACTCTCCCATTATGGATGAAGACGAAGATTTCTCAGCTAACAATCCCCCCTCAGTGGAGGGCGATCCAGCGTGTCCATGTTTACTCAGAAGGAAGCCCCATGCTCCAGCTGTAACTTCTCGAGGCACCACATGGACACAGATCTCTGTGCTACGTGCAATGTGGAAGGACAGCCCATCTCTGAGGACTGAAGTGGGCACTGCACCCCGTTCATCCGCAAGGGGCGTGTCCCCGTACTTCTTGGATGGACACGAACCACATTCGCCTTCTCCAGCCCAGTGGGCCATCCCGTTTGTAAAGTGCAGTGCAAAGGCGGGGGACCTCTCTTAGCCGAGGTCTGAATCCTGTTCTGGAGAAGTGTGGGAGGAGTACGCTAAAGGACAGCGGTCCAAATGCAATGAAAATGAAACCAAAGCCAGCATAATGAAGCTTAAAGCTCTTATTGGCAGCAGTAAGACTCAGGAGAAGCATTTTGATCATCTGGAATGGGACTGAGCAGCTTGCTCCAGGCGAGAGTGGCCCGTGAGCTTGGCAGCGATGCCCCATTTTCAGAGCTCCTATCTCCTGCCTGGATGGTTCGCTCTGGGCAGGAGCTGGGACCTGCCGATCTAATCAATGGTACTGCTCCAAGAATTAGCAATACTGCCAAGCTGATTGCTGGCTCCCGCCCCCTGTCTAGAAGAATCTCTGGGGTGGGAGGTGGGAAGCTGGCCTCATCCAGGGGTGTCTCTGGGTAGCTTCTTGGCAAGAAAGGCAATGGCCACTCTTGCCCAGAACACTTTCTGTGGGGCTTTCCCCATTAGGGGTGTGTTCTTCAAGCTTGGAAGTCACCGCAAGCAATTCTGGTTGAAAGAAACCCATATGGTGGTAGAGTTTCTTGTTCTCATCTCATATTGTGGTGGAGTTTCTTCTTTACCAAGTCGTAATGGTAAATCAGTATGACTGGGTTTAGACAAAAGAAAAGCAATAACTGATCATAGTGATTCTCATGTCTTGTTAACTCAGCCATACAATTGAGTGTTTTCTGCACATTGATAGCATCAGACTGCAAAGAGTCAAAACATTTGTGCTAGTTGTCTCATGGTGATGTGGAACTCTGTAGGTTTTTACAGAGCACTGTCCAAGCCATCAGTTAGGAGATGCACCACCCCAGTGCTACCTTCTGAGACAGTCTATCCAAGAAGGATTATAGCCACCGTCACACCATGACTTTGAGTCAAATCCCAGGGAAATGGTCCAGAAGGACAAAAGCATCCAAACCAGAAGGGTTACACTGCCCTTGCTGTGTCCCTTCTGCTGATCATCTATGAGGAGACCACATTCATTCCAGTAAAAAAAGTGAGACAGAGATGGATCTAAATAGTACCTATCGGGAAAATCCTGAGGTTGAAAGGCTCCTTGAGTAGCATAGGTAGAAAGGATGAGCTTTGCAGAAAGAGGTACTCAAGGACTGTGTTTTCAAAATCACCCTCTTTTAAATGGGAACTTTAGCCCTATATTAGGGTTAAGGGTGTGCACCAGAGTAGGGTTACGGTTAGAAAAACGAGGTGTCCTGGCATGGTTTTGATGGTTGGAATGTGTTTAGCATGGGCAGAAATGCTGAGCTGTGCAGAAGAAGCTACTCAAGGACGACGTTATCAAAATCGCCATTTTTTCAATGGAAGTGTAGCCCTATATCAGGGTTAAGGGTGTGCACCAGGGTAGGGTTAGTGTTAGAAAAATGGTGTGTCCTGGCATGAGTTGGATGGTTGGAATAAGTTTAGCATAGGCAGAAATGATGAGCTGTGCAGAAAAAGTACTCAAGGACGGCGTTTTCAAAATCGCCCTCTTTTCAGTGGGACTAGCCCTATATTAGGGTTAGGGGTGTGACCCTAGGCAGGGTTAGGGTTAGAGAAATGAGGTGTCCTGGCATGATTCTGATGGTTGGAATGTGCTTAGCATGGGCAGAAATGATGAGCCGTTTATAAAATCTATTGCAGGATGGCTCTTTCAAAATCGCCCTCTTTTCAGTGGAAGTGTAGCCCTATATTAGGTTTAAGGGTGTGCACCAGGGTAGCATTCGGGTGAGAAAAATGAGGTGGCCTGGCATGATTTTGATGGTTGGAATGTTTTTAGCATGGGCAGTATGATGAGCTATGCAGAAAAAGCTACTCAAGGACGGTCTTTTCAAAATCGCCCTTTTTTCAGTGGAACTTTAGTCCTGTATTAGGGTTAGGATTGTGCACCAGGGAAGGGTAGGGTTAGAAAAACAAGGTGTCCTGATACGATTTTGATGGTTGGAATGGGTTTAGCATTGGCAGAAATGATGAGCTCTACAATAAATCTACTCAAAGACGGCTTTTTCGAAATTCCCACATATTAAATGTAAATAGAGCCTACATGTGAGTTAGGGGTGTCTACCAGTGTAGGGTTAGGGTTTACAAAACAAGGTGTCCTGGCTTGATTTTGACAGTTTGGCTGTTTTTAAAAAGGACAGAAATGACGTGCTGCTCATAAAAA